TGCTAATATTTTCCAGAACGTTTGTCGTAAAGACGGAAACGTAAAATAAATGTGATCGTCCACACGAATGCATGAAAACACTGCAAGGCGACGAAATGTTGGGCATGAGCACTAATATTTATACATGGTTGCCCTGCAGGTCCATTTTTGTGGTTCAGTCAAATTGAGGTGATGAACTATGTCGTCGATATTGCTCTGGAGATATTCCAGAAGAAGAAGATTCTGTTGTAAGCCCGACAGCAGGGTGAGTAGCATGAGCAGCAACCATTCAACACAGTACGGCGCCATTGTTGTTGTGATACTGTGTCGCGCACAGTGTTGTGCCTGAACGCGTTCATTGAACGAAAGTTCATGAACTCGTTCATATTTTGGGCGAACGTGAACTGAACGTACTGCATTCTTGCCTGATGAACGTTATTGTGAACTCGTTCATTCTGGCGTCTGTGAACGGCACGCTCTCTCAGTTCAGCTTCGTTCAATAGGTTACCAGATTTCTATAAAGCCCTCCAGGCGAAACCCCGGCTAAATCACACCGTAAACAGGCCTTAATATGTAGCGGGAAAAACACCCAATCTGGCAACACCAGCTACCAGCGTCGTAGCCTACAGCCGCGTGGGTCATCAAAACAAAATGCAGCCTGGAAGCCACAGCAGCATGGAGGCGACTTAAAACAGCTTTATGACCAGGTGGTCGGTGAGGATGATGGAAACAAGTTTGCCCGCCGGCTTGCAGTAAAAAAAATCCGCACTTCAGTAACCTTAAATTCCTACCTCAGCCTGGTCCCTCAGTTTGTGTTAGTAAAATCTTCTTGAGCGGAGGTCTTCAACAGGGGATCCGCGACCCCTAGGGGGTCTACGGAGGTACTGCATGAGGGTCTGCATGGTTAGTTGATATTTTTATATTCCCCCCCTGCATTTTCCCCCCCCCCCACTAATTGAAATGTCTTTAAATACTCATTAACATGAAATCAACACACTGTAGTAAACAGATAAATGGAGGCAGAAGATGTCTTTCAGTCATCAATGCTCACATTCAGCGACACACAGGAGCTCTTTCAAGCTGGGCACCGTTTCCTTCACAACACCTGTCCCATCAACCAGGAATCAGAATCAGAAAAACTTTAATAATCCCAGGGAGAAATTAATTTCTTTACATTACTCCATCTGTAATAGAGTGACTATAGGACACAATTTCATACAATATATATAAATAGGGGGTCCCCGCTCCATCTCGCCATCAGTTTGGGGGTCCTTGGTCTGGAAAAGAAGACCCCTGTTCTTGAGGGTTTTACTATCCATGTAACTTGTTTGTTAAACCTGCCTGGTATAATTTTCCAGGATTCCAGGATTCCTTTTTAGTATGTATTGAAATGGAATTTCAAATGGAAAAAATTATTAAAATAAAAAAAAAACATTTGCACCTTAAAGACTACTTTCCTATTTTTCTTTTAATAATTACTCATAAAAAAGACCATTCAAGCAGCACATTTTTCCTGATGTTTTTGAGAATATACTGTAGGGGTGAAAGCTGCAGCTGCTACTAGTGTGAAGTGAATGGACAGCAACAAAGCATTAAAGCAACAATGGGGAAATGCTGTCCCCTCAATGCCAATGTAAACCCTGGTTGGATAAGGATTCAAAACTGGATATGAAGATGAAATCTGACACACAGTTTCAGAGTTACAACTGATAAAATAATTGCTGTCTGTGGTTCTACAGTAGGCTATGGTGTAATTGAGCAATATATGAAGAAAAAAAAAAAAAAAAAAGAACTATGAACTAGTTCGTTTTTTGGAATTGTGAACTATGAACTGAACTAGTTCATTTTAAAATGTGTGAACTGAACTTTGAACTAGTTCACGTAGAAAGAGAACTTTCCCAACACTGGTCGCGCATGCGTGTTTAGAGGCGATGCATGCGTGTAAAAAAAAAATGCGGTTAGAGCTTAAAGATGGAAACGCGAAAACGGCGTTTTAAAATCTTCCCACTCTGAAGGCTGAATAAAAAAAGATTGTTTACAGACCCCCGAAACACCGTTTTTGTATGGATGAGAGGCTGGTTTGGTGAAAAATTTGTGCGTTTAGGCCAGGGTTTGGCTTCGTGTGGACGGGGCCTTAGGCTAGCTACTCCTTACTACCAAAAGAAGATAAAACCGCATAAAAGTGAGCTGTAAAAAAGGGCTTCTGGACAGTTAAAGTTATTTAGATACAGAGATATAGCAGAAAACACAGAATTGATTCAGACAGAGATCGCCTGAACAACTACGCAGCTCAGCAGTCAAAACAGTAATGATGCTATAAGATGAGCTGAGGCTTTGAGGCGTGTGTCGAGGAGTGGAGGGGGCATTTCCGTGAAGTATGTATCAAGGCTTGCTTCTTTTAGGGGTGGGCCAAAATCGATAACGTCCAAAGCCTCTTCAACCCCCGCATACCTCATGATTGCTTCGGGAAGTGGTTCAGGTGGCCCGCGAACCTCGACAGGCATTTAAGCATCAGTATTCAAGCAAGATGTGGGAGTTTGTAGGAGAGTTGCAATCAGTTGGATAGTTTTGATATATTCTAAGAATAGATTGGTTGTTTTTACAACCTATCTAGTTGGTTAAAACATTTTTGGTTAGAGTAAACAATGTAATGATCAGAATCTGAGTAGGCCACTGGTTTCAGATGTAATATTAGCATTTACTTCTATTGCTCTCTGAGGAACAGTTATCATTGCAAGTGGCTTCGACTGTAAGACTTTGCCTACAGTCCAAAGGTTGTTGGTTCAAGACCTGGTTTAAACTTTTGAAAGTTCTCTACTTAACCAGTATTCTAGCCAATGTGACCAGTTTGTATTGGTTTGCCCTTTTACCAATATAGGTTAGGTAAAAACACTTCCAAATTAGATTGGTTTATTTAACCAAAAGATTGGTTTGCCAATAACCTCCCACAAGATTATAACCAAAAACTGGAAAAAAATATTATTTTTGAATAAAAATGACTAACACCTTTAATTTTGCTCATCATTGCCCATCACTTTTACTGTTTCACTGCTTGAGTTTCTTTCACAAAAATTACAGAAAAACAGTGTACCTTAAAATATTGTTCTGTTCTAAGACATTTACATGAACACAAAACTTACAAAATATTTTATTATACACACCAAACATTAACAATTTCAACGAAACATAAATGGGGAAAAGAAAACAAGAAAAACAATTGCAAAAAAATCACAGCTTATATTACTAACTGCGTGGTGACATTCCCAGGAAGACTCGGGAAATGTGGGGATTGTCGAAGCAATTTGCCCAAAAGGTTCAATGCCTCATGAGGCTTCTACTGAGTTCAAATTCATGGAATGCGTCCTCTGAAGCCCAGAGTTGTAGGCCGATTACGTCACAGCACAGCGCCAAGGTCTGTTTGATTGCAAGACTCCTGGTTACGCAGTCGACGAATGCAGCATTCTTTTCGCCCGTTTTGAAGGACGGGTCCGGTGTATCCTACATAGCCTTGGATATCCAGTGATTCATTGCAAGACCAAGCAAGCTGGCGGCTCTGTGCTCAGAGGAAAAAGGTACTTGATTCCCCAACAGTGGTGAATATTGGAAGTGCAGTTTCTTCTAATACAAGTATGTGAATAGTTCCATCTGAAACTAAGAAAAATTGTTGTTTTAAATGGTTATTGAGTCAGATATCTGCCGGGTAATGTTTGGTTGATTGAAATGTTTTTATCTGTCGCTATGCAAATGGGTTTGGCTGTCATTTAAGGACAGATTCTGCTTTTCTTGAGTGTCAACTCTCACGATTACCAAGCGACAGAGCGTACGGGGGTGAAAGCCGGGAAGGCTGGACATGTTTGAATCCACAGCCAAAACCCATGTGGCCTCATTATTTTCACAGACCTCAAAGGATCCAGTCCAGATAGACCGGCTCGTTGGAGGATGCAGCCTTTCGAACACACACTTCATCTCACCATCACAATAAAACTGGACTGAACACTATACATCTCACCAACAGAGGCAGTAGCCCCCTCTGGTGGCAGAATGCTGCACATAAAGCCGCCACATCAAAGCACTCTGAACCCGTTTCATATTCTATAATTACCTCAAATGCTGCCTCACCTTCCACAGATAAACCAATCATATTTAGAGGGGTGCTAATTATCTTATATTTAAAAGAATCAATTTTGTATGATTGATTGACTCCTGCTAAGATCAGGAGGGATGGAGGGTTCAGCAGAGCAACTGTATCAAAAAGAAATCTAGTATTATTCTTATTCTCTATTAATGAGGACAAATATTCTGTTCTTGCTTTACAAAGGTCATATTTTACAGCATTAAACTATTTTCTATTTTTTAGGCATGTAGAGCGCCATTTCCTCTGCAGTTTCCTAACATTTTGCTTCAGAATGCGCAGCTCTGCATTAAACCAGGAAGGAAGCTTTCTATTTTTCATTTTTTTTTCTTTTTCAAAGAGGCTGTGTTGTCTAAGGCAGAGAACTAGCAACCCCATCAACAAAACCATCAACCTGTGGAGAGGAATAAGCTACACTTTTGCACTCTGCAGCACTGCTCAGCGACACAGAGGAGAAAGAAAGTCAAACAGATACTTTAGTACTGCATTACCTGATAATGATCTGTGAAAGTGAAATCTTCTTTTGGGGGAAGAGAACTCGTTTAAAGTAATCCTGAAGGTTATTAAAAAGTGGGTTTGTTTTCATTTATATAAAATTTGTATATTATATTTTATATCAATTGTTCTGTCATTTCTTGTCCCTCATATTTTATATATTATCCCTATGTGGAGGAATTTCTCCTATTTCAACACATTTCTCCAAAATCTAAAACATTTGATTTAAGTGAATAAAGCATGACACAAAGACTGAACAATATGGTTATGTAGTGTAGAGCTGAAACGCTCAAATTACAGATTTCCTGGAAATAAAACTCCTCCTCTTCCTGGGGACGGAAGCTGCAACGCTGGCAGCAAGTTTTATGTTAGTCTGTTTTGCCGCTGCTTTGTGTGGATTGGAGCCCTTCCAAGCAAGTTTATCGTATTTTAGATGTGGCCTTGGTCTAACTAAATTTTAACCTGCCCTGTTCACTCCCCTTTAATAGAACTGAAACTTAACAGACCTCTTGAATAACACTTTATTTGCTTCTGAGGAAACGAAACCTATCACACAGTAACTTTCCACCAGATAAAAAATGGCTCAGCAAGGATATCAGATGGATTCTGTGAAATTCTCCTGTTCGATCTGCTTGGATCTCCTTAAATACCCGGTAACTATCCCCTGTGGACACAACTACTGCATGTACTGTATTGGATCGTTCTGGGATGAGGACAAGAAAAGGATCTACAGCTGCCCTCAGTGCAGACAGGCGTTCACATCGAGGCCTGATTTAGTGAAAAACACCATGTTATCAGAGTTGGTGGAGGATCTGAAAAAGACTGGACTCCAGGCTCCTGCAGCTGATCACTGCTATGCTGGACCTGAAGATGTGGCCTGTGATGTCTGCACTGGGAGGAAAAAGAAAGCTGTTAAGTCCTGCCTGATTTGTTTAGTTTCTTATTGTGAGAATCACCTGCAGCCTCACTATTATGTCTCTGCATTGAAGAAGCACCAGCTGGTGGACCCCTCTAAGAATCTCCAGGAGAACATCTGCTCTCGTCACGATGAGGTGATGAAGATCTTCTGTCGTACTGATCAGCAGTGTATCTGTTATCTCTGCACCATGGATGAACATAAAGGCCATGAAACAGTCCCAGCTGCAGCAGAAAGGACTGAGAAGCAGAAGGAGCTCCAGGAGAGACGACGACAAATCCAGCAGAGAATCCAAGAGCAAGAGGAAGATGTGAAGCTGCTTCAACAGGAGGTGGAGGCCATCAATGGCTCTGCTGATAAAGCAGTGGGGAACAGTGAGAAGATCTACAATGAGCTGATTCATCACATCCAGAGAAGAAGCTCTGATGTGAAGCAGCAGATCAGATCCCAGCAGGAAACTGAAGTGAGTCGAGTCAAAGAGCTTCAGAAGAAGCTGGAGCAGGAGATCACTGAGCTGAAGAGGAAAGATGCTGAGCTGGAGAAGCTCTCAATCACAGAGGATCACACCCAGTTTCTCCAGAACTACCCCTCACTGTCAGCACTCAGTGAGTCTACACATTCATCCAGCATCACTAGATGTCCTCTGAGATACTTTGAGGATGTGACAGCAGCTGTGTCAGAGCTCAGAGAGAAACTGCGGGACGTCCTGAGAGACACATGGACAAACATCTCAGTGGCAATTACTAAAGTGGATGTTTTAAAGTCAAAACCGGAACCATGCAGGATTATAGACCAGAAAATCAGATATGAACTACCTAAACTAAATGGCAAGCTCCTAGACCAACTAAAGAACATGCAAATAACAGCCGCTGTAGCAGATTGTACGCTTTCGTCGTCAGAACAACAGAAAAGAGCTTGGTTCTTAAGGCATGCACGGAAAATCACTCTCAATCCAAACACTGCACACAAATATCTCAAATTATCTGAAGGCAACAGAAAAGTAACAATGACGACTGAAAACCAGCATTATCCAGAACATGACGACAGATTCACTAGCAGGTGGCAGGTCCTCAGTAAACAACGTCTGAGTGGACGTATTTACTGGGAGGTGGAGTGGAGTGGGAGAGGCATTGAAATAGCAGTTGCATATGATGAGATAGAAAGAGAAGGAGACACAGAGGAGGCTACTTTTGGTATGAATGAGAACTCCTGGGCATTGTGTTGCAAGTCAAAAAACTACACATTTTCAAGTGATGGTTGGGAGGCGGATATCCATGAATCAGTTCCTGTTTCCTCCACAGTGGGAGTGTACCTTGATACCAAAGCAGGGATTCTGTCTTTCTACAGCGTCTTTGGGTCTAAAATGATTCTCATCCACGAAGTTCAGACCACATTCGATGAGCCTCTATATGCTGGGGTTTGGCTTTCACGCTCAGTAGGAACCACTGCAGAGTTCATTCAGTTAAAATAGAGTAATAAATGAAACAATCTTGATAACTTTTAAAGCAAGAATTAATGTGACTTGCTTCAATAATATTGCATAAAGAAAAAGGTTGAACCATTGATTCTACAATCTCAAACTACTAATCTAGCATGCTGCAATGCCTGTTCTAATATTGAAGTATGGATAAAGAAATAAATGATTATGCAGCTATTATTTCATATTAAATATGAAGGTGTTACGTTAATGATTTTCTAGATGATTTGAATCTTTACTAATAGTGGGAAATTACTTCCATGTTATTGAATCAGCAGAAGGCGCCACACTTTGAATTATTTGTCTAAAATCTAACAGCTACTGTTTGCTTTTATTAATGTAAACTAATATATATTTACACTCTTCTGTTAGAAATACTATAAAACTTTTTTCATCTTTTTAAAATTGATTCAAACTTTGGAAATATGATAGAGTTTATGCTGTACAATGTTTTTGTTTGAAGTAAAATGTAAATATATGTCATTGTTGTTTTAATAATGGATTAAATGAACCATTTTATGTTTGTTTTTCTTTGCAGTTTGACCAAATTGATAAGCAGTTCTAAATAGAAATATTTGGTTTGTAATTTGATATAAAATAAACAACAATGGTGTGGGAACTGCTTTTATTTTGGAAAATTACAGATACTGAATACACTAAGACAGCTCTACTGGTTTAAGTCTCTGCCTTGGCCTATAAATGTTTTGCTAATTACTTTATTTTTCCAATAGTGATGTACATTAATGTTTTTTATGTAAAGTCTATATTTTTCCTTTGAGACACTGAGTGTGTGATGGCAGATGTGTCAATGTTCAACGGTAAAATACAGGACATCCTGAACAAATGTCTAATTCACAATCATTAAATTCATATTGAAGTAAAAGAATCAAAGCAAAGGATAGGCTTACACAACAGAATATTTTTAACGTTATCTCCACAAAGGTATAAAATATAATTCTACTGTCTTATAATGGATGCAATTATGTCTGTGAGCAACATTTACTGACAATTAAGAATGAGGTGAATAGTTTTTATTTTTTCTTTGTCTTAAAAATTTGTATATGTTGATTTTAGAACACAAAATTAATATGCTTTACAAAGGCTATCAGGTAAAACTGTTAATATGAGATACCAGAAAAAAAAAAAGAAAAAAAAACATCACCAAAACCTAAAGTCTGCAATGGAGCAGGCCTTGTTTGATTCTTGATCCTCAAAAGATCCCAAAAGTCTTCTACTTTTATACTTGTAATCTGCTTTGATATTCCTGATGGTCCATGTCAACTGCAGTACCACCAAATGAACACTAGATGGGAGCCACACACTACCAACAATTCATGTTAAAGCTGAAGTCTGTAAGTTTTTAAAAATCACTTTTTTGTCATATTGGCTAAAACTGTCCCTATGCCCAGACAGCAGTACATGTGATATGTAACCTGTGAAAACAACTGCTTCAATTGGTCCCGCCTACTGCCTGTATTTCAATGTGGAAGGAATAATTCGGGACGAGTCAAAACAACCAATCACAGCCAGAGGAGCGTCTAATGGAGTGTCAATCACAGCTCACACACGCTGAATCCCGCCCTCCCCTGCCCGGCTGCTGCAGTCAGGAGGACGCGCGTGGAAGTCATGGCGGAGCGACAGCCACCAGCGAAAGAGAAACTGCCCTTACTGCCCCTGCCGACAACTGCTTACACGGCAAACTTTGGTATAACCAGCATCTTATATCTAGCTGCTTGGAGGTGAGTGTTATCGCTCTTACCGGTTCACACTCCATGCCGCGTACGCTGCTTGGACGCTTCTGGTCGCATGTGGTAGCCACGCAGATGCTGTGAGAGGGGTGGAGCTTGGAGGTGGGGCATGAGTGAAGCAGAGAGGGTGGGGGAGTGGAGTGAAACCTGTTTTTCTTCAAATTTTCAGTCGAAGTCTGCTCTCTTCTCAATGTTACAGACTGCAGCTTTAAGAGATAAGATGTTTGTAATTTGCTCCTCAGTGTAAGTAGCAGTACTGCCTTTTAGCAAGAAGGTTCTGGGTTCAATTCCTGGCCCAGGGTCTTTCTGCATGGAGTTTGCATGTTCTCCCTGAGCATGTGTGGGTTCTCTCTTGGTACCCCGGCTTCCTCCCACAGTCCAAAAATATGCCTGTTAGGTTAATTGGCTTCTCTAAATTCTCCTTAGGTGTGTGCGGGAGTGGTTGTTTGTCTCTGTGTTGCCCTGCGATGGACTGGCGACCTGTCCAGGGTTTACCTGGCTGGAGATGGCTCCAGCACCCCTCATGACCCCACTTGGGATTAAGCATGTTAGAAGATGGATGGATGCTTGTAATGTGGCCTGGTTTGTTGTTTAAGGGAGACAGAGAGCTGAATGCTCAAAGCATTTGATAATCACAGGCATCAGTGTTCACTGAGGCTCTATATGGCTCATTTTTAGGAATCTGGATGAATTTTTCACAGATAGAAGACTTTGTAAGAATCCCAGCCTCAACCTGTGCAAGAAAGCTGTGCAGCTTCTCTGCTAGCATATTGCTACCTGGAGGATGGTAAGTAGGATATGGTTTTGTTGTTGTTTAGGGCCTGAATGCCCCTTCACATGCCTTGGGGGTTATGGTTCATCATATCTCCATTGTTTTTTTTTTGTATGAATCTTTGGCCTGTCTAATGCTCCTTCCCATGTCAGCACTGGCAGTGTTGTAGAGAGCTACCGAGGTAACACCCAATTAAGAGATATCATGAAAAAAGCGTTCCTTCCTTTTCTTAGAGAGAAGGAGGGGCATTTCTTCCAGGAAGATGGAATCTCACCCTTCCAGTATATCCAGAAAAGTAACTTCCTTACTAAGTTACTCCCCTTTCAGATAGCTGGAAGTTCATGTTTGTTTGCTTTAGAAGAAACAAAACCTATCATGCAGTGTCAGTTCACAGTGTGAAAAATGGCTCGCCAAGGATATCAGATGGATTCTGTGAAATTATCCTGTCCGATCTGTTTGGATCTGATGAGAGACCCGGTAACTATCCCCTGTGGACACAACTACTGTATTAACTGTATTGGAAACTTTTGGGATGGTGAAGAGAAAGAGAAAGGGATCTACAGCTGCCCTCAGTGTAGACAGAAGTTCACACCGAGGCCTGTTTTAAAGAAAAACACCATGTTGGCAGAGTTGGTGGAGGATCTGAAGAAGACTGGACTCCAGGCTCCTGCAGCTGATCACTGCTATGCTGGACCTGAAGATGTGGCCTGTGATGTCTGCACTGGGAGGAAGATGAAAGCTGTCAGGTCCTGTCTGGTCTGTATGGCTTCTTATTGTAAGAATCACCTTCAACCTCACTATGATGCTGAACCATTACAGAAGCACAAGCTGGTGGACCCTTCTAAGAAGCTCCAGGAGAACATCTGCTCCAATCATGATGAGGTGATGAAGATCTTCTGTCGTACTGATCAGCAGTGTATCTGTTATCTCTGCTTAATGGATGAACATAAAGGCCATGAAACAGTCCCAGCTGCAGCAGAAAGGACTGAGAAGTAGAAGGAGCTCCAGGAGAGACGACAACAAATCCAGCAGAGAATCCAGGACCAGGAGAAAGATGTGAAGCTGCTTCAACAGGAGGTGGAGGCCATCAATGGCTCTGCCGATAAAGCAGTGGAGGATAATGAGAAGATCTTTACTGATCTGATCCGTCTCCTGCAGAAAAGAGGCTCTGCTGTGAAGCAGCAGATCAGATCCCAGCAGGAAACTGAAGTGAGTCGAGTCAAAGAGCTTCAGAAGAAGCTGGAGCAGGAGATCACTGAGCTGAAGAGGAAAGATGCTGAGCTGGAGAAGCTCTCAGTCACAGAGGATCACACCCAGTTTCTCCAGAACTACCCCTCACTGTCAGCACTCAGTGGTTTCTACACACTTATCCAGCATCAATATTCGTCCTCTGAGATACTTTGAGGATGTGACAGCAGCTGTGTCAGAGATCTGGGATATACTACAGGATGTCCTGAGAAACATAAGGACAGACATCTCACTAGCAGTCACTGAAGTGGATGTTTTGCCACCAGAATCAGACCAAAGTACAAAGGAAAATGTCAACGATGACTTAGATGAACTAAAGGTCATAGATCAGTCAAAAAACATGCAAACAACAGTCGCTATAGCAGATTGTACGCTTTCGTCAGAACAACAGACCAGAGCTGGGTTCTTAAGGCATGCACGGAAAATCACTCTCAATCCAAACACCGCACACAAATATCTGGAATTATCTGAAGGCAACAGAAAAGTAACAATGACGACTGAAAACCAGCATTATCCAGAACATGACGACAGATTCACTAGGAGGTGGCAGGTCCTCAGTAAACAACGTCTGACTGGACGTATTTACTGGGAGGTGGAGTGGAGTGGGAGAGGCGTTGAAATAGCAGTTGCATATGATGCAATAAAAAGAGAAGGGGACACACAGGAGAGTACTTTTGGTCTGAATGAAAACTCTTGGGCATTGTGTTGCTCACCAAATAAATATACATTTCATACTGATGGTTGGAAGGAGGATATTGATGAATCAATTCCTGTTTCCTCCACAGTGGGAGTGTACCTTGATACCAAAGCAGGGATTCTGTCTTTCTACAGCGTCTTTGGTTCTTTAATGATTCTCCTCCACGGAGTTCAGACCACATTCAATGAGCCTCTGTATGCTGGGGTTTGGCTCTCACGCTCAATAGGAACCACTGCAGAGTTCATTCAGTTACAATAGAGCAATAAATGAAACAGAGTAGCCCAGTTTAAAGCTCTGGTTCATTTACACTTCAGTGATAACGCCTAGTTATCCTCAGAGTAACATAGTTCCAATGGAGAGTTAATTACATTGAAAACAGGAAGCATTTTTGCATAACAAGCTTCTTGATAATGTTTAAAGCAATAAATAATGTGAATTATTTCAATAATTATTTATTTCAATCTCAAACTACTGGGGTTATGAATCAAAGCTACATCTGAATATTTACACTGCTCAAAAAAAAGTAAAGGAACACTTTGAAAACACATCAGATCTCAATGGGT